CGGCCCCTCCCGCTGCACTTCCCCAAGCCTCAACTGCCACGCCCCCACTGCCTTTGGCTCACGGCTCATCTCGCGCGTGTTTCAGTCAAGTTTCTGCCGCCCGTCATCCCCCCAGCCCTGGCTCCGAAGGCCGCTCATCACCATCACCACCACAAGCACGTCTCGACTGGCAGTACCAAGAGCAACGGCAGCGCGCCTTCCGCTGGCACCAACAACAGCGGCAGTGGCACCACTGCTCCCAGCAACAGCAGCGAGACGTATAAAGGCGCTGCAGATGGCACCACTGGATTCACCACTACCACCACCACCTCCACATCCTCCTCTGCTACCACTTCCAGCACAACTACTACCTCATCATCTACTACTAGCACTGCTACAACAACGTCTGCGAATGCAAACAATACCTCCGTGAGCCCGGCTTCGATCTTCGGCAGCAACATCAACCTCACCACGCTGGAGAGCCTTGCAGGGATGGGCAAACAGCCCGACCTTGTGAAAGTGACCTACAGCATCTGGGTGCACAGCAACATATCGGAGAGTTACAATCTGACGGTGCAAGCAGAACGCAACACAACTTTTTACAACGTCATGTTACTAGCTGCACAAGATGATTCTCATTATCAGTAAGTAATCCTTTCTGTATTTTATTACTTATAGTATTATTCTATCTCGAGAGTTCAACCAATATTACTGGAGGAGCACGATGAAAAGACAGGGAGAACTAGATTCTAACTAGGCGCACCGATTTTTGCTCCTTCTGGGCAGCACAAGTTGTCACGAGCAATGACATGACCCTATTAAAGAGCAAAATGGTCCTATTTGCGGATGACACAAACATTATTACTAAAACAAATACCCAACAAACTCTACAAAAAGAAGCACAAACAGTCCTAGAGGCATTAGTAAAATGGTTCCAGGAAAATAAACTCATCATAAACACTAGTAAAACTGTCTCCCTAAACTTACGGAATCCACTCTCTAAAGAAAAGCCTCCAGCACAATTGATGATAAATACATGCCTGTAAAAATAGCCCAAAAAACAACTTTCTTTGGATTGACTATTCAAGATGATCTAAAATGGAACTCCCATATCACAAATCTAAACAACAAGCTTACCAAGTCATGTTATGCCATATACATCCTGAAGTCAAATTCAAACTTAGATACACTGCAAATGGTGTACTTTGCAAATGTTCACTCACACCTAAAATATGGAATAATATTCTGGGGAAATTCCCCAGAAAGTATTCATACTTGCATCATCCAAAAACTAATATTGAAAACAATGACACACTCACAAACATGAGTCCTGCAAACTACTGTTCAAAAAGTTACAAATACTACCACTTCCATGCATGTACATATTTGAAGTATTACTCTTCACAAAGAAGACACTTATAGGAAACAGGGCTTCTGTTACTCTGAACACAGAAGTTCATAACTATGATACTAGACAAAAAAGGAATCTGCATGTTCTACACTGTGAAACTTCACTTTTTCAAAAAAAGTACCCTTATAGAAGGCATTACATTGTATAATAAACTTCCTAGTGAATTTAAAAGCTTAAACTCGTTACACACATTCAAAAATAAACTGAAAGCGTTCCTGTTAAACCACACATTCTACAGTACAAAATAATTTATGCATCATAAACACGTATCTACATCAATATAAACTTGTACTAATAACTTTTGCTTCTTCTGTTGCAAGTTTTCAAACCCCCCTAAACTGGTTGTTGGATATAATGGATAGACCCAGCCTAGACACAAACTTATGAAGAATTTCTTTTTTTATTATTATTGATTTTTAACCTAAGTTTTCTTACACTGCCATTATAAAATAAATATTAATTTATATTAAAGCTTTCCATGATATTGTATTTAATATGAGAATTGAATTTTAAATTCAATTTTATATCTTGTATTTAATTTTTAGAAATATCTGTATTGTGTATTATATACATATCCTGACTTGTCATACATGTCGTATTCTGTACTTATGTGACAATTATTATTATTATTATTATTATTATTATTATTATTATTATTATTATCATTATCATTATCATTATCATCATTATCATTATCATTATCATCTCCGTGGGAGTAATTTGGTCTCCTATCGAACGCGTGCCCAGGTGGCGGATCGGGGGATGCTCTTACCGGCAACGCCGGAGGGAAGGTGGGAAATAAAATACTCGTACCACCCGTGGACCAAATCCAGACGCTGGCTGTAGCGTAAAAACGCTAGGAGAAGGTGACCCCGAAAAGAAACCCACGATGGAAGGTCCCTCAGGATCAACCGTTACGGTGCAGGGGATCGGAACCCCAGCCCCGGCAGCCGGGGGTGGGAAAGCAGGCCCCCGGCGGTCGTCAAGCAGCGACTGCAATCTCTGAGACGTGGACCGCTTGGCGTCTCTGAAATTCTACACTGCGACAAGCAAAAGCGTAGAGCGTGCAGGTTTTGACCCCTTTTCTGGGAGGTCGAACGAAAGCGCCTAATAGAAATGAGTGATATAGATGAAACAGTCACTGCTGAGAAGGTGTTGGAGGCGGTGAGCAAAATTATAAACGTAGCTACTGACCAGATGCCCACCCCCTGTAGGATGCGCAGAGGATACGGAGGAATACAATCAGCCACAATGATGACGGGAGAAGAGATAGCTCAAAAGCTGATAATGGCAGGACATATTAAGATCGGATGGGTTAACTGCAGAATCAGGGAAAAACTCCAGATAACAAGTTATAGATGTCTAGACTTCGGACACATTTCAACGGACTGCAGAGGTCCTGATCGTGGCAAAATATTTTACAGACGTGGAAGAACTGGACATGTTGTTAAGAACTGTACCAACCGAGAACAGTGTGTCTTATGTAAAGACAAAAACAGAGAGGATCGACATATGTTAGGAAGTAACAACTGTGCCTTCTTTATAGCGGCGGTTCAAAAGAAAAAAATATCAAGTATGATTCGACTCCTACAGATTAACCTGGGGAGGAGTAACCCGGCGCGGGACTTGATGCTGCAGGTTACTGCAGAGAGGGAAGTGGATGTGTTACTTACTAGTGAGCAACCTTACTGTCAGAATACGTTTATAGAGATACCTCTGTAAGAGCGGGTATAACAATACATAATATGATTAATAAACATAAGAAGACGATGTATGGGTTTGTATGGGTTGAGGTGGATAATATGAGAATTTATAGCTGTCACTTTTCTCCGAACGATACATTAGAGACATTTCAAAAAGACATCGACGAATTGGAGGCAAGTCTGAAAACAAAGAAAGGAGAGGTTTTGATAGTAGGTGATTTCAATGGTAAATCGTCGGAATGGTGGGAGACGCGCACTGACAGAAGAGGAGCTATTATATGTGAGTTTGCAGCAAGAAACGATCTCATCATTCTAAACTCTGGGAATGAGAACATTTTTCCAATGGGGAGATACTTCATATATACTGGATTTGACAATAAGTACTTCCAGACTGGCTAAGGGCATCACGGACTGGATGGGGGGGGGGAGGATGAAGAAACCTTGAGTGACCACCGATACATAGGGTATGCCGTAGTATCAGAGGGACCATAATATGGTAAAGCGAGATACAAAAGTGGGCCATCTCGGAATACCAAAAAACTTAATAAGGATAAGGCAAAACGCTTTTTGGAAGAAACATATGAAGAAGTGGTAAAGACAACGGAAGAAATAGTAACATAGTGACACGTCTATGCCTAGAAGAAGTGGCCCCAGGAATAAATAACAAATGTACTGGTGGCCCTCGGAAATAGCAGAAGCACGTAAGAGCTGCATCAAGGCTAGAAGAATGGCGGCAAGAGCCAAGACCGAGCCTATACCTTAGAGAGCAATATAAAGCCCAACGTAAGCGACTTAAAAAATAAATTAAAAGAAACAAAAGTAGAAGTTGAAGGGTACTTCTAAGGCAGATTGACAATGAACCCTGGGGTATGGCATATAAGATAGTGAGTAAGAAGTTCCGGATGGATCCCAAAATATCTTTCCTGAATGACTAACTGTGGGTGAAGGGAGCTATTAAAGAGCTCTTTCCCACAAGATATCGCTGGGTGAGGCAAAGACAGAATGATTTTATGTTCAACGATGTTGATTACTTTACGACAAACGAATTGCGGAAAGCAGTGAAGACTATGAAAACCGAGAAGGCACCAGGCTTGGATATATCCAGAGTATATCCAGAATATCTTCTGGCAGTCTATAATAGATGCCTTAAGGATGGGAAATTTTACAAGAACTGGAAAAAACAAATGCTGATACTCCTCCGGAAGGGCAAGAAACCGTTGCAACAGACATCGTCGTAAAGACCACTGTGCCTTCTTGATACTATGGGAAAATTACTGGATGGGCTAATACTCTCAAGACTTGAGGAATATATAAGCTTCTCTCATAGACAATATAGATTTCAGAAAGGCGGTTCGACGACGGAGGCGATTTTAGAAGTAGTTCGCATTGCAGGTGAAGCTAGAAATGGAACTGGGAGGAAGTAGGGATTCTGCGCACTTGTAGCAATTGATATTAGAAACGCCTTCAACTCAGTCAGGTGGAAGGACGCCATGGAAGCATTGTTTGACGGGGGATCCCTGAATATTTGTTAAGGATCATCAAGGACCACCTTAATGAAAGAAAGATAATTTACATGGATAGCATCAAGATTGAAGAAAACATGACATGTGGAGTTTCACAAGGGTCCATATTTGTCCCCTTTTTGTGGAATGTACTGCATGATGACATATTGAGTATCAACCTTCCAAGAAATACGCAGATTATAGGATACGCAGATGATACACTAATAATAAGTCATAGTGACGATATTGAGGTGCTTGAACTAAGAGTGAATGAAGCACTCTATAGAGTTAAAAGATGGCTAGACAGACGACTTCTGCAGTTAGCAGTAGGAAAAACTGAAGCTATGTTAATTACCGATCGGAGGGCTTTTCGCTTTCCCGATATCCGACTGGGAGAAGAGAGAATAAACTGGAAGCGCCAAGTAACATATCTAGGGGTTGAGATAGACAGTAGACTTAAGTTTGGGCCACACATAAGTGTGATGGCAGAAAAGGCAGCGAGGACAGGATTCAACTTAGCAAGAATACTACCGAATGAAGGTGGACCACGAGAAGTCAAGAGAAGGTTGATATCTGGAGTAGTTCATTTACAACTGTTGTATGCAGCACCAGTCTGGACGAGTTCATTGGAATGGTTATGAGAAACGTTATGAGAAATAAGTATGCTCAAGTGCAAAGGTGAATGGCCCTGAGGGTAGCGGCTGCCTACCGTACGGTGTCTACTTGCGCAGTGCTAGTATTGGCCAGAATCCCGCCTATCGATCTGATAGCTATGGAAAGGAAAAAGATGTACTCCGCCCTACAGGAAGCTCGACAAGTAAACAGACATCTCCCTCCCAAGGAAATAGAGATTATTAAGAGTGATGCTAGGAAACTACTTTGTGAAGTGTGGCAAAGAACGTGGAATGTGGACGCTAAAGGTAGATGGACTAATCGTATATGGTTGCGTAGGCTTATGCGGCCGGAGTTTATGTTGTCAAGGCTATCCGGGACGAGACGCGTCACTGACATGGTGGCTAACGTTTTGGCCAGCGTATTGTGGCCTTCTTCAGAGCGTACTGCTCTTCAGAGCTACTGCTCTTCAGAGCGTACGCATATCGGATAATCAATAACATTGAGAGATGGTCGATCGAAAGTATGGAGAGGTAAATTATTACGTATCTCAGGCTTTTACAGGACACGGTGGCTTTGGTAAATACATTTACGATTACAAGATTAAAAGAAGTCGGACATGTAGCTTATGTCGAGAAGATATTGACGATGCAGAACATACAGTGTTTCAGTGCAAATCATGGGATGCGGAAAGGGAGATTTGTAACGTAAAACTTCAACAAGTGATAACTCCAGGAAACATGGTGGACATAATGTTGAGTTCGGAGCAGAAGTGGACTGTAGTTGAGAACTACTTAGTTAATATCATGAAGGAAAAGGAGCGGAGGAGTTAAAGCACCAGCTTCCAGTCAGTCTTCCACGCGAAGTAATGTCTAGCGACGGTTTCCGCGTGGGAGAAATTGCGACTTAGGAGATGAAGGTTTCGGGTTTTAGTCGGTAAACCAAGAACGGGAGTCCGACAGTACTGACTTCACCTGTCTCCATATAGGTTTCCCCCCTTCTAAAAAATCATTATCATTTTAATTATTATTATTATTATTATTATTATTATTATTATTAGTATTAGTATTAGTATTAGTATTAGTATTATTATTATTGTTGTTGTTATTATTGTTGTTGTATCACTTGGTCTGTTGTTACACAGTGTCTTGAGTCGTGCATGGAGAGTTCTGAGAGTGATTGTCTGGAACTTCCTTTCAATGTGTGGAATGCTGAAATGACAGTGGGCATTCAGTTGACTGAAGGCCCATAAGAATTGTAATATTACCCTATGAAAACAAATTATGCAATGACTACGCAAAAAATCCATACTTTGCCACTGGGTAAAAGCCCTGTCACACTGATTTTGCTTTTCAGATTTTGTACTGATCAATGTGGTACTCCATACATTTATAAAAAAAAATATTTAATTTTAATATTTGTTTTGCATTTTGATTATATTCTTAATAAATCAAATCAAATGTTGAGTCTCATTAGAAACAGGCCCTACGATTTTACTGATATAATAATTATGATGATCTTATCTTTTGTCTTGGTGAGACCAATATTGCTGTATGCATCACAAGTTTAGTCTTCTTTTGACCAGTCGCATATCTTCAGACTGGAGAAGGTTCAGCACAGGTTCCTAAATTTTGCAACCTACTTTTACTAATCTTAAAATAATAATACTTTTAATAAGAGTAACTCATATTTATAATTATGTAACAATAATGTTAAATGTATGTTCCCAGAGATCTTATAGAAAGTATTTTGATTTGGTATTTTTATATAACTAATTAATCATAATATTTGTTCATCTTATCTGTATTCTAGATTCCCTTGGTTTGACACCTGAACTTAGTATTTGTTGAAAGGAAAATGTTATATTTCTTGTTCCATTCCCTAGAACAAATTTATTTTACTATGCACCACTTTGGAAGATGTGTCAAAAGATAAATTATTGTGAGATAGATGTTTTTCCCCCTCGATAGATTTCAAAAAACAGTAAGAGATATATGACTTCTCATACATATTTTGATTTTATGAAAAAATTGTGATTAGATAATCTTTGATTTTGTGGATTTTTTTTCTTTGTGATATATTTATAATTAAGCAATTACCTGTTTTGAAACTAATAAATATATAAAAATAGTATTTGATTCTGACATATTTCAATTTCTGTTCACAGCTTTGAAGCAACAGAATGGCCAAACGGACACTATGTACATACCCTAGCAGGTTTTAAAGAAGAGCCAACATCTTATTACTTTTGGTTATTGTACCAAACTGCAGAAATGCCAGACCCTGCTAATCCCCCTGGCAATCAGCTTATTACTCCTGTTGGTAAGTTCCAAGGAGTATGCAAGTTTTAATTGTAATTAATGAGCTTTGATGAGTGTTTTTATTTTTTAAATAAATGACAGCATTCTTTTGGAGGACTTTGTATTACAGAATCAGAGAGAATGGATATTTACCTCATTAAGAATTGGTCCTATGTAAATCAGTGTTTAAAAGTTGCACAATTATTGTTGAGAACCACCTTACCTAATATCTCCAATATTTCAGTTTTAAAAAGGGAAGAATTTGGTGTAAATATCTTTTACATTGGAGTTATAAAAGACTGCTTTGTCTCGATTAAATCGAAATATTTGCTAGTATGTACAATGTGCACTGAAAAAAATTTGTTTCACTGTGCTGTCAGTGGACTAGCATGAGGGAGTTTTCTCATTGGGAAGAAGATAAACCTATGACTAAACTATATTGACTAAAGAACATATCTTTCAATTGAGAATCCATTTTCTAAGTGGACCTCTGGAGAAACCAAAGTATGCATTAAAAATGATGCATATAAATCTGGTCTTAAGCACATCTCTTCAACCTCTCTGGTACAGAGCATTCAGCTGAATAGTAGTATCAGCTGGCTGGATTTTGTAATTGAATGTATTTTTTTTACGTGAAAGTTAGAAAGTTTTCACAAGAAATTGGTTGTAATCCGCTATCATTAATGACAAAATATTGTATAAATTGATACAAATAATTTTATAATGGTGTTGATAATATGTGTGACTGATTGAATTAAGCCATCAGCCAGAAGAATGATGAATATACTGCCCTGTAATAAATATAAGCCCCTCATGTAAGCCTTGTGAAAACTATCGAAATTCTGTTGGTACTTTTTTATATTGCATGTTCAGAACTTTCGAATTAATGTGTGCGAACCCGTTAAAAATACGTGTGACATCTCAATGCCCAGACGTAGGAGCCCAAAGAGGGAAAATCAGGTGTATTGGTGGACAGCGGCTATTTGCAATGCTTCGTCAAGCATGTGTTAAAGCTAGAAGACTTGCAACAAGACATTCTGCTGAGGGAAAATTACAAGACGGCCCGCAAAAGACTAAAATTGGAGATTAAAAGAAGCAAAACAAAATGCTGGAAGGCCCTATTAAACGAGGTGAACAACGACCCTTGGGGAAGAGCCATAAGATTGTTATGGGCAAATTTAAACCTTCAACAACCGCGAGGCTAGAAGACCCCGAATGGGTGAAGGCAATTATCCAAGACCTTTTCCCTCGCAGAGAATGCTGGGTAAGGAGCAGACTTTCTGACTACCTCTTCGACGAAGCCAACCGCTTCACGAAGGACGAACTAGTCCAGACGATGAAGAAGACCAAGATTGGAACTGCACCGGGGCTTGACGGAATTCCGAACGCGATCCTGTGGATAGTTGTAAAAGAATACCCAGAATGACTTTTGAAAGCCTTTAACCAGCGTCTTGAACAAGGTAAATTCTATAAGGGTTGGAAACATCAGAAGCTAATTCTCATGCGGAGAGTTAACAAGCCAATCGAACGGACGTCATCGTTCAGTCCTTTGTGCCTACGATGAGCAAATTACTGGAGGGTTTACTCCTTCTACGACTAAAGAGTCGTGTCCAATTTTCAACGAGACAGTTTGGATTTAGAAAGGGACTCTCGACAATAGACGCGATCTCAAAAGCAGACCACCAGGCAGAAACAGCAAAAAGGAATGAGAGTTTTTGTGCCTTGGTTGCGATTGACATCAAATATGCCTTTAATTCTGACAGCTGGAAAGACATCATACAAGCCCTAGTAGCTAGGAAGATCCCTGAATACCTTGTGAGGATCCTGGAGGACTACCTCAGTGATAGGAAAATAATCTACACTAACGGGTATAGGATTGAGGAAGACATGACATGCGGTGTTCCGCGGGGCTCAAGATTGGGCCCCTTCCTGTGGAATACTCTATATGGCGCCCTGCTGAATATCGAACTCCCTAAGAACTCCAGTCTCATAGGCTACGCCGACGACACACTGATTATATGCCACAGTGACAACGTGGAACTACTGGAAATGGAGACCAACGAAACACTACGCAGGGTTAAAAGATGGTTGGACCAAAGAAATCTCCAGATGGCTGTTGCCAAGACGGAGGCCGTGTTGATTACAAACCGCAGAGAATTCCGCCACTCGGTGATCCGTCTGGGGGAGGAATTTATTGAATGGAAACGGCGTATTACATACCTGAGGGTGGAAATTGATTCACGATTGAACTTCGGACCCATATTATAAAATCAGCAGGTAAAGCTGCAAAGACTGGATCAAATCTCTCCCGACTAATGCTGAACTCAGAAGGTCCCAGTGAAAGCAAAAGAAGGTTAATTTCTGCCGTAGTGCACTCAAAAATGCTGTATTCCGCCACAGTGTGGGCAGAAGCACTAGCTAAAGTGTCCATTCGACGGAAATTCAAACAGATCCAGAGAAGAATGGCTCTAAGGATAATCTCAGGATATCGCACAGTATCCGACAGTGCAGCCCTAGTTCTGGCCAGTGCCCCCAGTGGACCTTTTAGCCCAGGAAAGGAGGACAATGTACCTGGGAACGACAGCAGATAAACAACAAACCCTGTCAAAAATACAATTAGACAATATCAAAGCGGAATTGACAAACCATCTCCTGCGCCAGTGGCAAAACCGATGGAAGTGGAGTACAAAGGTAGATGGACACACAGCCTCGTCCCTAACATCAAAGATGGAACCAGCAGGAACCATGGCACAATGGACTTCTACTTTACGCAAGCCTTCTCAGGGCATGAGAACTTTCAAGCATATCTATACAGATTTAAAATCGCTGATATGCGCGCTATGCCGTGAAGAAGACGACGTCGCTATGCACACCCTATATAGTTGCAAAGCTTGGGAGGAAGAAAGAAGAAACTGCTACCGCAAATTGCGACGGGAATTAACGCCTGCAAACAAAGCCCAGACTATGCTGCAATCCAGAGATATCTGGAAAACTGCGAGACTTCGAGGCTCACGTACTAAAACAGAAAGCCACTACTAAAAGCAGAGAGAGCTAAAATACCATAGCGACCATCTAAAGCTCCATGCTCTCACCAACATCTTCTGCGTGAAGTAATGTCTCACGACGCGTCCCGCGCGGAAAGATACCACAACCCATATGAATCGAGGAGGTTAGGTTTTAGGTCGGTATGCCACGCTGGAGACTCGACATAACCGGACTTACTGGTATGCGTAACGCATTTCCCTCCGGCAAATTAATAATAATAATAATAATAATAATAATAATAATAATAATAATAATAATAATAATAATAATATAACAATAACAATAACAACAATAATGATAAGAAATTTACAACTTGCAACTCTGCACCTGAGAAGAATAAAAGTTGTCAAATATTTTTCAACCCAGTTTCATGGGCAGCCATCTTCCTATTAATTTGAAACATCAGAGGGGCCTGGAATGGGAACACTGAGGGGAACTTTCTCATCATAAGAGACATCCTTAATATTTATTATTACTACAATCTCTGAACTCTCCTTTCTTATTTCTCTACATTCTTCTTCTATTTCTTCGCAGTATGTGCCACATAATTATCCAAAATATAGCAGTGTTCAGAATAAATGAGTTTGTTATAGTATTAGTAACATTCTGGAAAATATCTCAAGGAAATATTTCTATATTTATTCACTTACTTCTCCACAGTAATTAGTTCTAATGCTGAATTGTGATAGAAAGTAATATTATGATGACTGATCTTTTACATTGGCTCCACACCAATTCGATAGGATTTTAGTTAAAGGCTATAAAACAGGTCAGCCAATGTTCGAGGAATAAAAGCAAATAATTTCTGCAAGTTAATCACCAACCATGCCCCTGGCACAATCCCTGTGGTGTGGCAACAATAGCTGTCAAAAAAGTCACATGACTGAACGCTCTTGTAGACATGTCTATTTTGCAAAAATCGCCCTGTTTTTTTGTTTTTTTTTTAAATGTAGGTAGTGAAATGACTTAATAAATACTTCATACTCCATGAAATTAAATTTTCAAAAACACAAAATCAATTAAAGTGTAGAATTCTAGTTTCGTAATTCTAATTTAGCAAATTTAAAGAAAATATTTGGAACACTTACTGAGAAAATAATTGTGTATAAATTGCCTATGTTTCACACAAATTACCCAAAATGTACTCATATTTTTGACACAGTCTCTGACACAGGCGCACATGCACGCGTGCACATGCATACACATGTGCATACACATGTTCACACATACATACATACACATACAGACAGGCAAAGAAAGGCAAACAGACACAGACATATTTTGCCATAATCCATTTTTTTCTGTATCAAGGACTCACCAAATGTGGATTGTGAAAACACAAGATGCTAAACGAAGTAATTAGGTACAAATAGAAGCAAGATGTATCCACTTTTTCATTCCCTGACCTCATCAGTAAGAGTACTTAAAAGTAAAAAATTAAGCTAAAAAATAGCTGATTTCTTCCTTTTTATCATGCAGCATTACAATACTTTCTCTATACTGCACAAGCATTATACAAGAAAGTAGCAAGTATTCTAATAAAGGGCATTACACTTTATAAAAAACTGAGCCATCATATCAAAGATGTGATGTCACAAAACATTCATTTCAAAATAAATTCAGAGCATTCCTGCATAACAAAATATTTTTCATTACAAAGTACTATACAAATCACTCCCCCCCTTAAAAAAATGATTAAAAATTTTCATTCCATCTGACTTCTTGTTTTGTGTTGACCTTTTCAAGTAGACACCCTTCCCTGAAAAAAGGGAGAAAAGAAAGAAAAAAAGAGCCGATATATCCCACGTTTTGCCTGTGAGTCAAAGGGTTGATGTAGAAGCTGCATGTTTTTGTCAAATAAATGTAGATGAAGAATGTCAGACCACAATTTTATTTTCTTCTCCCTTGGTTGTTAGATCCAAGTGTTGTTAACTTTAATATTGTTAAATCACATTCTCATTATTATTATGACATAGTCTTGTTCTTTGTATAAATATATATAGTGCATACCATGTACTGAATGTTTTATGTAATATGAAGCCTTGTATTGTACATGTGTGCATGTTTATTCGTGAATATTAAGAAAAGCATGAAAATAAAGTAATAATATACTGATTTCTATGCCTTGTTTCAGGGGTTGATGGGTTGTTAATTGACGAAGGAAATCATTTTCTATTCTGGTACAAAAAGCTGTAATTACTTGTAAACCTCTGTAGCATCTCCGGAGGAAACAATGCAGTGTCATTATCAAAGTGCCAGTTCTCAGAAAATATCAAGTATGCCAGCAATTCTGAAGATTGTAATCCCATAAAAGGTGACAATTATATGCAATTTTTAAGTGTCTCCCAAATTATTTACCTGTGTATTCAAGTTAATTATATTCCAAAATGAAGTATTAGGTTTTACTGCAGCTATTTTCTTGTATTATAACAATAATAAGCATGTTTTTTATTTTAAATTTTTAGTAGGACTATCTGTGACATTTTATGTTTTTCAACAAATTCTAATAATGGATTGCTTATAATACTGATGGTATAAAAGAGATCTTCTAGAAGAGGCTGCTGAAGCACAACTTTTTCCTCACATCTCAGTATGTGCTGTTTTGAATATTTGATGTTTTCTAAAAGAGGTCCCTTGTCTGCCAGTGCTGCAGTTAGTCAGTGCTACTCAATTTTATGAAACCATTGTTGAGCTATCAGATGGCTGAAGTTTTGGTGAGTTAAATTTGTACTTTTTTTTTTGTAGAGCTCTATAACATAATAGATTTTCTGGGAATAATTTGAGCATTAAGTATCATTTACTTTCTTAGATTTCCTTATAATTTGTAACATGAGAACCAATTCCTTTCTCAGCTGTGTTATTTTGTAGAATTGCTATGAATACTGCCAGATAGCTAGATATAAATGAACTGTGATGAAACTCTGTGTTCTATTAAAGGCATGGATTAGATACTTGTTTTCATCTTCTTATACATTTTTATTTTAACAATGTATTAACATTATGTGAAAAAATGTGTGTTCTGCATATTTTATACCAAAAGTATTAACATTTATTTAGCTACTATGAAATGGCTATCGATCTTAAGTAGTAAAGAAAGGGAATGGTTGTTAAATTTTTTTTCTGTCACAACAGCAGTGTTAATTTATCCTGGAAGCAGTTTCTTATATTAGCAAAGAAAGTGCTCATAAAAACTTTCAATTATTTAGTTTGAAAAACATTGTAGCCATGTCCCCACATTCCATTTCATTCTCTGAATTATGAAAATACATTCAATCATTGATGGCTAATGCACATTTTGAAATAATGATTTTACATCATTTCATGGGCTTCTCTGGAATGTAATACATTTCATAAATTCCCTTTTTATAACACTCTTGAAATGTACATACTAGATATTTCATTTTGAAAATTTTTATCATTTTAAAATTTTGGATACCACTAACTGCAAATTTATGTTTAGTTCTATTGTTTCACAATTATCTGTACGAACTGCTTTTAGCCATTAGTTATTGGAGACTATTCAGTGTGAATTTAAACATTTTAGTCATGAGAACTGCAATTTGCTGTTAAAATGTTTCAACTTATATTCTTTGAAATTTCAGTGTTGGGGAGTATTAAGCAAGGCATTTTTATCTTTTATTGTTAGCTTATGAATATAATATATATATATTCAGTGTCTATCATATAACAAGATAGTGGCTATATAATAAGCAAAGTAATATTATAGGAGGTTGCCAAATCTCTGGTACCATTCCTTGCATGTTTGAAAAAAATCACATTATAATAGTTGTACAACCTACACATGCTCATTTAAGATATCAAGTACACATTTCCTCATTATGATTTTCTGGTTAGCTCATCAAATCCTGTTCATATTATATTTTATATACTATAATATAATACTTCTTAAAGAATACTTTTCATGTAAAATCAGCACACATCACCTGTGAGAAAATTTAATAGTATCCCTTTTACAATTCATGGTTTAGGACCCAGACCAGGGACACTGGCAATCATATGAATGTATGCAGTATTATAAACATTTTTACAGTGTAAAAAATTGTGATTGCTTAAATTCAGTGTATTGCATTTGATGCATATTCACCATGCATAACATATTTAGACAAATATAATAATGTGATACTGTATATTATATTAAAATATTGATAATAAATATACATTTAAACTAATGCTATATCTCCCATAAGCAAAATTTTTTGCCATTTTGTATGTGATATGTGCTGCTAGGAATGCAGTTTCTCCCCAGCATTGAATGTACATACTGCATATCTCATTACATTGCACAGTTTTCCGTCACTACTTTAATAAACTTATCAACTTATTTCCTTTAATGTGAATTATTTTGTTTAAAAAGGTACCTAATAAAATGGTATCAATATTTGATATGTATGTAGTACTAAAAGTTACAATTAATTTTTCTGTACAAGTGTGTTTATCACTGATTTTTAAATTTTCTAAAGTATATGTTGCATAGAGAAGTAGATCAGTATTTTATCTTTAACTGGTGCTCTCTAAGAACCTAAGAGAGGGAATATTGATGTGTGTAAACAGATAAACTGGTTGAAGTGGTTTGGAAATTTAATACAATGTATTGACGTCTATCTTTTATGTAGTTGTTAACTTGTATGAGTTAGCAAGACTAGCGTGACCTGTGATATTCAAAGCTCTAGATGTTAATTTATTTTTTTTCCATCAGGAATAGGGTTTGTAATATTTTTTATACAATTTGGTAGATTACTTCCCATTTTCAGTTGTAATGTATTTAAAAGTGATATCACAAGTTGAAGTACACTGTAGAATTTCATTAAATGGAAAGATTTTAATTAATTGACAGGTAAGTAGCTACATAAAAAGACGTGCTCCTGGAAGCAGTGAGAGCAAGTACAGAAAAGTCCGTTTTATTGCAGAAAATAATGTACATATTTTACTTTTATTTCATTGAAGATAAAATGAAGGTGATGAACACAGATAAATGATATCAAAATTGATATAGCCTACATGAACATGTTTGGTGCCTTTGAGTTAGATTAGATTAGGTTTAATTAGATGAATACAGATTTTATTGTGAGAATACAACTTTATGAAGCATTACAGTGGCCCTTGTGCATTCACCTAACCCTAGATGTTTGGGAAGATGTTCTTTTTTTTTTTTTTTTTAATATGAAATTATGTGCACAGATATTGAATTAAGTTGGATCTATACATGCACAATTTTGAAAATGATTTTCATATAAAAGTAATTTGAAATCAATTATTAAAAATTAATTATCCTACTAAAATTGGCTTAAGTTCACTGCTTTTGATTTATGTGAAAACAAACTTTTGGTTTCAATTAATATATCTTTAGACGTGATCCTAACAACAGCTATGGAATCAATTGTTCATAATATTTAAGCATTAAATATCCTTCATGATGATATTTAATTATCTTCTTTTCTAAACCACTCTTAGATATTTTATTCATTGAATACCAAAATGATTAGTAAATAGAAATGGCCGAAGACACCTTTGAACTGAACATTTGTGGAGTTTCTAAGTGTGTCTTGGTGACTGAGTTCAAGGCCATTGGTTGTGAAATATCTTACCAAACATAACATCCTCACCCAATGTAAGTAATATAAAATCTTTTCAAACATCTAAAGGTCCACTTGCACATATGTGTCATTAACAGTTGCATATTCCAGAGAACAGAATTTCATTCAGGCCATTGTGCATTGTAGTGGTAAGCATATATGTATGGTCATTCTATTCTAAAGTAACAGTATTCCAATTAAGATAAACTTAGGTGATAAGAGTTTATTTTAAAATAACCAAGACACAATGCATCTTGTTTTAGTAGCGTACATTAAAAACCTCAATTATACTTAATAGCCATCAGTGCAAAGTAGCATCTTATTATCAACTGGGTGTGTAATGAAATTGAACTTATTTGTGTCATAATGTGCTGAAAAATAAATAGCTATTATTTTAGTTAAGTAGTTGATGCAGATTTGAGTTCCTATTAAAAATGTTTCATACTCTGTAAGGACAAGTTTGCGTTAGACAATAATTGTTTTTCTATTCTTGCTGTAAAATACAATGGCATTGTTTAATAAAATGGTAAAGATATTAGTAAAATTATCTTATTTCCATAATTTACTTCATATTTTCCCACTAACACAAAATTCAAAATGCCCTTCCTTCATTCATTCATTCATTCACTCTCCTCGTCATTAGTAGAGAGTCCCTTCATATGCAAGTGTGCTTATAAAATATTGTCTTCAATATTCATCTTTTTTTGCTGCTAAATTCCAAGTAATTTGAAATATTCTTCACCTGAAAACAGCAAAGTTTCTATTAAAAATCAGCAATGTTTGCACAGTGCCTATTGTTTTATTTGAACACACTCATATTCTAAGTAACTCACTGTGTATATGTTAGCCTATGTGGGGGTGATTTAATAAAATATGTTTACTTTTAATGCCCCTACACGTGTACCAATTTGTCAGGCCGATCGGTCAGTCAATCCAACATTGCATTATGTGGAGGCAAGTTCTCCAACAGAATTTTTTGTCGGGTGGTGGGTTGGTCTTGACCACACCATACTGCCAGGCAAATTGTATAGTGTGTAGATGTGTTGTGCCAACAGTTGTTTAATTGGAAAGTTCTGTGATACTTGGGGGTGTTGAAGGTCGCTTATTACAAATAGGAAGTCGACAATTTCAAGAAATAATATTACAGATCAAATTTGGCAGAAAAGTAAATAAAACATAAAGTGCAATTTTTTTTTAAATCAGTAATGTGCGCGAATTTTGACAATAATTATGAGAATGAAACTAAAGTAAAGAAAAGTAATTGTTTTCAAAATAAGTTCAAAGGATATCCTTAAGACAAAAGAAAGAATAACTGAGGAAATACTATTTGAAGACCAGTTGGATTTAGAAAAGAAGTTGGAAAAAGAAAAGAAACTTAAAAATGACTACAAATAAAAAGGAGTTAAACCCATTATTGCCATATAGGTACAAATGGTACTTTGTGCTGTACTTTCTGGAAAATTAAACTGATAAGAGTTTTTGCATTACAGAGTGATAATATATATACTAATATATTATTTTATTTCTTAGTAATAACATTTCTTTATTCTTTGATTTAGAATGTAGTTGTGTAAATCAAATTGATATTTCTAAAGCATTTGATAGTGTATTTAATGAAAAACTGTCAACAAAACTAGATTATTGTGGAATAATAATATATGGGGGGAGCTAACCACCTCAGTAGATCATACCTCACAGTAATGTTAGGAGATCTTCTAGCAATGAAAATTTCTTATTCAAAGTTAAATCAAATTTTTATACAATTACCACAGGTGTTCTGCATGGATCCGTGCTTGGAACTTTGCAATTTCTAATATTTGTCAATGATATTCCAAGCTCCTCTGATTCATTGGTAACTTCTTATGCAGTTGAAACAACATTACTAAACAATGGGCAAAGTCTTTGTTGTCTAGAAACTAATATGATTAGATCTTAAAAGTAAATTAAAAGTTATTTGTTCATAAATGAATTGAAATTATACATTAAAAAAACAGAATTAATTAATTTCAAGTTTTGTCATGGTTACCAACACCAAAACATTTATTTATTTGTTTGTTTCTTTGATTGTATATTATTTATTTATTTGTTTGTTTGTTTGTTTGTTCGTTTGTTT